TGGAACAAGTTTACAGCTGAGGTATTGAGGGGATGATGTTAGTATGATCCTGTGAGTAAAGCTGATAATGGAGTATTTGAAAAGGTTTTGAACGTTTAGCCATGCAAGATTACGATACAAGTGTGACACATGATCGAACTTTCTTAGGCCCTCGATAAACCGCATTATCTGCAAACGTTTTGCGTTAATAGACGTCAAACATGGGTAATATATGGATAAGCCATATAACATTTTAGAAATAACTAAACTTTGACACAATTTAATTTTGATGTTTCTATGCAGAATATGTTTGTTTGCAAATAGAAGCCTGAGGGATAGATAACATTTTTTCAAGACATTATTCAGATGGGAGTTAAAACGTAAGTCCGAGTCAAAGTGAATGCCCAAATTTTTTACTATTTCAGAAAACATAATTTCCTCCCCATTAACTTTGATGTGAATTAATGGTTTAAGGTTTTCACATAATCTTTTATTGCCAAATAATATAGCAGAACATTTTGAGGGATTTAGTCTCAAGTTGTGAGAGCTGCAGTACCTATTAACACTATCCAGATCCGCATTTACTAGCATCATGGACTCCTGGACATTGTCGGCATTAAAATCACACTTCATCTGCGTATCATCAGCAAAAAATTGAGCATGTGTATTCTTGAAGTTATCATGTAAGTCTGCAGTGTAAAGTAAAAACATCAATGGTCCCAGTACTGAGCCTTGTGGAACACCTGACTGAATGTACCTTGATGTCGAAATTTGATTATTGATATTTACTTTTTGCCTACGTTCCCTTAAATATGACCTAATAAAGTTGCAGGCAACTTCATCGAAGCCATAGTAGTGGCACTTGGCAACAAGCAGTCGATGGTTAAGCGTATCGAAGGCCTTGGAAAAGTCTAACAGTACCAGCAAGCTCATGTTTTTACTGTCGATGGAAGATATGATGCTATCAATGAAATAAGACAAGGCTGTAGTTGTACTGCGGTTTTTCTGAAAGCCTGATTGATGGGTGGGGATTATATTATGTGCATTGAGATGACCTAGAATCTGTGTATAAGTTACTCGTTCTAAAATTTTAGACATTATTGGCAATATGCTTATTGGTCTGAGGTCAGCGATGGATATCGGATTAGACAATTTTGGCAGAGGAGTCACCAGAGCTGTCTTCCAAAGGTCGGGAAAGTATCCAGTTTCCAAGCAAATATTAATAACATGTAGCAGATGAATGCCAATTACTGGAAAGCATAACTCTAACATTTGTAACGTGATACCATCCGTTCCAGAAGCATTGGATTTTATACTGCAGATAACAGTTTTAATCACATCTAAATCAACTAGCTTAAAAGAAAATGAATTTCTTTGCAAAAAGTTATTTGTTCTGTAGTAAAGTGTTTTTTCAAAGCACGCTTCATCACTGTTTTGAAAAACTGAGGTAAAGTATTCATTGACTTTGTAAGGGTCTGTGAGTGTTGATGGGATTTCAGAAGATTTAATTGCTTGAACGCGCATATTTCTTAAAGATTTGTATAATAAAGAGGAATTTCTCAGATTTTGTAAATGATCCAAAAAGGCAGACTTTTCATTCCGTAACGACTGTAATGCATAATTTCTCAAAGATTTGTAATTATTCCAATTTTGAACAGACGGATTGCTTTTAAATTTAGACAGCGCTTTATCTCTTTCCTTGAAAATTAACTTCAAATTGGCGGTCAACCATGGTGCTTTCGGTCTAGTGACACGCACTGTCCGAATTAGGCAATGTAAATCAAAGATGGCATTGATGTTGTCAGTCAAAAATTTCAATTTGGTTTCAACGTGACTAAAGTATAAGACCTGCTCCCAGTTCATTTGATGTAAGTCTCGGTTGAAGTTATCTAAGTCGAAGTGTTTATAGTCTCTGAAAGTCACATACTTATGTACTTTATTTAAACTACAAAGTAGGTCACAGAAAACCATTTGATGGTCACTAATGATATCAGCGTTGATGGTACCCTTGTCACCGCAAACCTCAACATCAGACAGAAATATGGGATCCAAGAGAGTGCTACTTGTCTCAGTAATACGAGTGGGATCTTCGATAATTTGTGTAAAGCCATATGATTGAAAACATTCACTGATTTTATTTTTGATCAGTACGTTAACGTTTAGATCACCTAACATGAATAAATTGTCGTATGCAGTTACTAGGCGAGGTAGCAAATTATCGAGCCATTCGATAGCATTCAAAACATTTGCACTCGGAGGTCTATACATTACACCCAGGCAGTAACTACAGTGGCCAATTTTAAATTTAATGAACATATGCTCCAAGCAAGCATCTGTGTAAGAAGTAAGTACCTCGAACTTGATGTTGCTTCTAATATAAATACCGACACCACCACCTCGGGATGGCCTATCATTTCTACAAAAGCTGAAGCCAGGGATATTAACAGTTTCAGAGCTAGTACATTCGGACAACCAAGCTTCCGATACAGCAACTATATCTAATTTTTTTTTCAAAAACTAACTCTACAAAATCGGCAAAATTGGAAAGTAACGACCTTACATTTATGTGAGCTATTCTAATATATTCTTAATTGATTTTAGATTTAAGATTATTTATGTAATGTTGTAACACCAAGCAGGAACCTTCGTCATTCGACGAATGGCAAGCATCATATTTAGTTTTATATTTTTCGTTACTTTTAACACAATTAATGCACTTAAGGACTTCGGACGAGCATTCTTTATATCGATGTTCACAGCTGCATGAAGAACACACAATGGACGACTTACAGTCTTTTTCAAGATGACCTATTGCACTGCACTTGAAACATCGCACCACTCTAATATGGTCAGCAACGAAGCATTTGCTGAATCCGACATATACATATTGACGTGACATAAAGAGACTTCTCACCTCAGGTGACACCTCAAGTACCAAATGTGTAGCGTTAGGGTAGTTTAATTTCGTTACAAATTTAATTTCACGATTTTGTAGATCTTGAAGGTCATTAATAGATGAAATATTGTCAATAATGTCAGCGACACTGGAGTTTTCAGGAATCTGAATATTTTTAACCATAATTCGAGGATTATACAGCTTAGTATTACTAACTTCATATTTCCTTCCTAATTTGTTAGAAACATGTTCCTTTAGTTTTCCCAACGACTTGTCATCATCGCAGCAAATAACTACACCATTGCGAATTTTCTTGATACCACTTAAACACAGTTGAAGATCCTTGGGGTTAATATTATTTTTAATATCATTCAACACGTCAGTATTAGATATCGAGTTATTGTTCGATTTAACAATAATCCCAGCTGATGATAGTATGTGTTTATTTTGACTTTTTTTGGCTGTGCTACAAGAAACAGTACCTGTGTTTGCTTGGTTAAGAAATGGTCCCCTTGTTTTTGCAGCGTAGGATGATGATTCACTGCTTGTAAATGATAATTTTTCCTTGAGGAGCTCATTGTTGCATTTTAATTCACTGTTAAGGTTCACTAGTAACTCTTTCTCACGATTGAGGCATTCTACTTCATGACGAAGCACTATAACGTCAGTCGCTGGAGTATTAGGTGTCGACTTGCACTTTATGGTACAACCTTTGCACCTCCAATTTTTCCTTTCGGTGAAGAATAACTTAGCGATATTCTCAAAACATTTTGTATGAAGAGATATACTGCAATTTTCTGCATCGCACGTAATACCACCCGATTTACGTATTTCATCGCCACAAATTTCACAGATTTTGTCGCCCCGGCTCAAAGCGACATCTGCACCGGCCGTCATCTCCGAGCGGTATCGCGTATTACTGTTACATTGTATTGCTTTTCCTTCTTTTTCCTTCTCTTCCTCTCTTTCTGAATGATTTTGATTTTTATTTTTCTTTCTTACACCTTGACTCATATCAGATGCGCTACTGTTTTGTTCTTTTTCTTGCCTTCAGCCTGGTTATATCCTACTGCTTTGTTCTTAGCGCCCTGCGGATACTGACTCGTGCGACTTTTACAATTTGACACAAATGTCACAGAATATATGGGTCAAAATGGTTAAAGACCATTCTGCGGCTCCAGAGTACTCCACCAACAGTTCCACTGACGCGATTCTTTCCGATATCGAAGTGAATGCTACTGCTTTAAATTATCTTCAAGTCTTGTGTGAGATATTCAGGTATTTATAGCGATCGAAATGACTGATGTGATCTATACTCTATACTATCACCGTAAAAAAACCTCAAAGAGCAATGGTTCCAAGCTAGTGGTGAAAAACTAGTGATCCAGGACCCCTTCGATTCCTAGCACTAAATTAACATCGGCTCCGAGATGTATGGACCTGATTTACCAACAAAAGAAGCTTCCATCCACATCATAGTAGCGTAACAACTTTCGGAGATTTTTTAACAGACGACAGCAGAATCCTTGCCAGTACCTCGTAAACCGGACAATTACGGATAGAATGGGCACATGATTCGGTTTCAGCAACCCTAAAAACGTATTAGGAGAATGGGTAGAATCAGATTAACGACTGACCCATTTTTCGGCCTTTTTGTAGAGGAAAGTGACCAAATATGGAATAGTCTCCTTTTATGGAATACGCAATTAATTTCTAAATTATTTGCGCCATCTGCCGTTTTTATGCCCGAAGTGGCGCCCCAAGGTTCAAAACCCATTACAGAAACCTGTAACCGTCGTTAAGTATCTGCAGTCTGTCAAAAACAGAGGTACAGTGAATCGCCGCCTACTAAAGTTTTTGCAGCAGGTTAGTATGTTTTGATATCTAGAGTGTGTTTTGAGCCGAATTCGAAATCTGCGCAATATAATACAATGTAGGATGACGGCTTAGTCTATTGCTAGCCTAATTTTTCCCTTGATAAAAGCCTGTCAGTTCATAACATGATTAACCTCCAAATGCGTGGCGTTCCTAATATGGAATATCAACAAGGTCCCATTATGGAATATATTCCCTATTAGGTGCACTATTTGTTTAAACATAAATAATGGTTTCCGTTTGTATTCAGACATGCCTAAGTCAAGGAAAGGGAAAAAAGAAAATGGAAGAAAATTGTGGGAGAAAGGAAGCATGGAGGAAGCAGTGGCAACAGTTAGGGATGGTAGAATGGGGTATTTAAAAGCAGCAAAACAATTTAATGTGCCACGAAGCACCCTTTTCCGGTTATGTAAACAACACGGAGAGCCAGCTCCGGTGTGTGACACACGGTTAGGACGAAAACCAGTCCTCTCAATCGAGTTAGAAAATGAACTTGCAGATTATTTGCTTGATATGGACAATCGTTTCTTTGGGTTGACAAGAACAGATGTTCGCAGAATGGCATACCAACTTGCAGTTGCGAATGGCATCGAGCACAGATTTTCTGAACACCTCGGGCAAGCAGGGAGGAAATGGTTAAAGGCATTTTTGAAAAGACATTCAAACTTAACACTCAAAAAACCTACCGGGACATCATTCGCCAGAGTAGCAGGATTCAACAAAGCAAATGTTAATGCATTTTTCGATCTTCTGGAAGCCGAAATGGAGAAAGTCCATTATCCTGCAGATAGGGTATTCAATGTTGACGAGACGGGTTTGACGGTGGTACAATCAAGGTGCAGCGAAGTAATTTCTTTAAAGGGTAAGCGACAAGTGGGAGCGCTAACATCCGCTGAACGTGGTTCATTAGTGACGGTTATCATGTGCATGAATACTGCTGGTACATTTATACCACCAATGATAATATATCCCAGAAAAAATATGAATGTTCAGCTTCAAAAAGGAGCACCTCCAGGCTCTCTATTCGCATGCCATCCATCCGGATGGATCCAAACACATTTGTTCACAGAATGGTTTCACCACTTTCTTACTAAAGTGAAACCATCAAGGGATGAACCGGCTCGTCTAATTTTAGATGGGCATAACACACACACTCGAAATTTAGAGTTCTTGCGCTTAGCAAAACAGAATGGGGTAACCATAATATGTCTGCCTCCTCATACCACCCATAAACTGCAGCCATTAGACAAAAGTGTTATGGGTGCACTCAAGGCCCATTACAATGAGGAGGTTCGTGTATTCATGCGAACCTATAAACGTCCCATCACACAGTATGATATCACAGAAATCTTCAGCAGGGCCTATCTTAAGATACAGTGTGGTTCCAATGCTGTTAAAGGATTCGAGACGACAGGGCTATATCCGGTCCGCAGGAATAATTTCGACGAATCTGATTTTCTGAAAGCTGCACAAGAAGGCTCTGATGACGAATCTACCGCTGCAGTACCTGAACAATCTGAGACTAACACGGCAACAAATCCCACAGTAATTGAGCAACTGTACGGTAGACCGAATACCCCAGCGGTAGAAACGCACGTGACCCCACATGACATTTTACCACTTCCCAAATTGCAACAAGAAAAAGGGACACGAGGAAGGAAACCCGGTCAGGCCAAAATTATCACGTCTTCTCCCTACCTTAAAGAATTGGAGACATCATTGAACGTTTCTAAGGAAAAAGTTGAAGCAGTCAAACGAAAACTTGGGGCCCCCAAAAAATCTAGGAAAGTTCAACCATGCCCTCAACGTGAAACCGAAAGTACTCAGCCAAGCACAAGCGGGCTGCATTTAGTGGCCTCCAAACAGAAGGCGAGGAATAAGAGAAGGTCATCAAGTTCTACTTCTTCAGAAAAATCTGAAGCACTGCATTATCAAGATTCCTCCTGTGATGAACTGACTCAAGAAACTACAGTAGATCCTGACGAGGATGCCATATGCGGATATTGTGATGGGAAATTTTCTGAAGACCAAAGGGGCGAAATTTGGATACAATGCATATTGTGCCTTCAGTGGTTCCACGAACAGTGTTCTGGGGCATACCGAAGCAAATTTGTGTGCGATTTTTGCAAGTAAAATCGCTTCTGTTCCAGTGTAAAATTTCTGAAATGTTTTAAGTTTGTTTAATGTTTGTTATGTAGATAATATTCAGTTCCGTTTTTTTTTTGTATCTTATGTTTATCGTTATGTAACAGAGTTCTATTTGATGTTTAGTTCTGAAAATATAGCGTTTCTATGTCTTTTTTGATGAGAATTGGGTGTATTCCATATTAGGTTCCAAGGTATTCCATATTAAGGACACATTTTTGAAGTCGCCACGAATGCACCTTAAACAATATTTCAGTTTCTGAACAGGGAAAATGACGTATTTTGGCCAAAAATTGATATGACTTTTTCATTATGCTCCGTTACACCCAACAGTATTGAGAAAACGAAAATTAATTGAACTATGGTCTGAATACAGTCAAAAACAAAAATGGTATTCCATATTTGGTCACTTTCCTCTACTAATGTTAATAAAAATTAAAATGCTTTAACTGCGATTCAAATCACCTTTTTCGTATGTATTTCGGGTCGCTAAAACCGAATCTGAACTCATTTAACATGTATCTGATCCTGTTTATCATGTATATTCTAATATGTAGTGAAAGATTGTAGAACAATGCGACACTTTTTTAAATCCATTTATTTTTTTGAGTGCTCATTCCCAGTCTGAGGTTTGATAACAAGATTCTGTACCTAACGCGACACTGGAAACATTGAAGACAAACCAACATTTTTGATGGATATTGCAGCTGCTTGACCGAAGCTTCAACTTTGAATCTTAGCTACTTTCATTTTGAATTCAAATGAAGTATTACATTTCATGGTCTTAGTGATAGCAGATTTTGTTGATAAACCTCAACACGCTCCAAAATGTCGATTGATACAACATTAATTAAATTACGTCTAAATCCTTTCATAGGATCAACGTAGTGACAATGATGTAACTGCAGTACTTCTCATAAAATGTTCAAGTCATTTGTGCTTAGCCAAAGGTCTGCTAGAATCACACATAACATAGGCAACTCTTTGTAAAAACGGAGTTCAGGCTAGGTGACCCCCTATTTTCAATATCAGGTATTCTGCCATTGCTGCTGTTTGATCTAGACAATTCGCTATATTTTTCACGTTCCAAAATTACAAATTAAGCTAGACTTCTTCATATGGTGTATCGGTAATAAATAGTTAGTTTTATTTTTTTGTTTTATTTAGTTTATTTCTGCTTATTCACAATAACACAATCCACGTCACAAATTCGGCTGGACTTGATCGTATGGTGTAGCTTATAATAAATGTTTAATTTTATTTATTTGCCTTATTCAGTCTACCCCTAATTATTAACAATAACTGAACGATCCACATCACAATATAGATAATACTTCTGCCCTGCCGTAGAACTGGCTACTTGAATATCTTTTCTAGTGAAAATAATGTTTGCCACTGTATTTGGTTATCACTTCAGTAGGCAAATGTACCCAAAGATCTACATATATTTGGCGGCAAACACTACCATGTGGACTGATAAGCTTGGTTCTTTCTAAAATATTCGAATTCGTTCAGAAAAGTATAGTCATGAAAGGTTCAAGTCGTATAAGGTCTGATTTCTCACATGAATCAAATCCAAGCGAATAACCAAAATTTCTGTGTTATGTACCGCGGTTATAATATGGTTCAAGATGACACACGGGTTGATGACGTTAGTTACACGAATCGCTTGAACGCGTTGGTTTTAACCGCGGTTTTGTTTCAAGTTGTTTATTTTAGAAAAGCGCGTACCTATATAATCTCTGATTATTTTTATTATCACTTAATAATCGGTGCTTTTTCGTCTACAACTGTATATGGAAAGTTTAAATAAGAAACCTTTCATAATATTCATGGGAGAAATGTTTTTTTTCAGATTTTTTTTTTAATGATGGAACCATGGCTTTGTAGCTATGATAACTTTCAATTCTCTTAATTTTTCCGCATGTCAAAGAAAACATTTGTTGATTCAGCAGAAATGATGAAAAAAGAAATTAGCAAAACCGTATACAGGTGGATATCATCTAGTGAGTTTATATGGCCATATTTTAATATTCTTGTGGTATATGGCTACACAGGATACTTTGTTAAGCATATCAACTACAATTAAAGTGTCCCCAACAACCGTAATGAGTATAACTAATAAGGTGCTCCACTTTATGGTAAAACTGAAGTCAGCCTGTATCATTTTTCTCGAAAATGAAGCTGAAGTACAATAACAATATCCAATACCCGGCAAAATTCTAACTTGTCACATTTCAAATAATAACCAGAAATATAAAACTCCTCTTGAGTTGGGTAAATACCACAATTTTGCGGTGATAACTATGACATATAACAGCTGATTCGTGACGTCACGGATCTGATAACCAAACTGATAACTACAGTCGCTTGAACGGATTGGTAAATACCATTTCCATTTGGTTATCCGGTTGAATTTGATTATGCAGTATACTAACCGACAAACCACGGGTTCCGCTGATTATTCTCCACCGTCCTGGACAGAAAGTACTGCTCGAATCCATCCACAGGTCGTGCCTGAGGTTGTACGCTGAGAGTACCCTCAACCTCAGCGCGGTTTCCGTCTGAGACAAGCGTGCGGGCACTCCATCCGTCTGAGCCGATCCAGGAAAACGCCCCAGTGGCGTTGAGGCGACGGACAGCACGCATCAACTCTGCCACCTCTTGGTCGCTGCCGAAAACAATGCATCCTGGAATTAAAAGAGTAAACTTTAGACTCCAACTAGCTTTTTGCTCCTAGGTTTTAATTGCGAAACATGTATATGGCGCCATTACAAAAGTTAAAAGGTCACTTTTCTGCCCATCAACAAGGTAGATGCGATCTATACAGAAAGCCTTTAATCGAATCAATCATTAATAATAATAATGAATACAATAATAATAAGTCTTTATTGAGCAGAAGTTTAGCCATAGGTTATTCGTCCACTTAAGACTTTTAAAACAGTAACATTTACAATTTACATGTACCTATGTACAATCTGTCTCGTAATAATAATAATAATAATAATAATAATAGCTTTATTGTCCAACAGTTTCCCATTTATAGGACAATTTATAAACATAATACAAAAGCAAAAAAAAAGCGAAAAGAAAACAACAAATGCAACACAGGTATAAATTTGTAACATGAGCTATTGGTCCGAATAAGCCTTAGCTGCCTTTAGCAGGTAATTAACATTTGTCGTAAATATATCACAGTAACATCCAATTCTGTTTAAGTTAGAGCACATTACATATAACGGTGACTTGAGAAGAATGTTTGTCCCAGCTCTAGGAAGCCCGAATATTTTATGATTGCGAGATGCAAACGTTGGAGTACGAAACTTGATCTGTTCCAGGATCAAGGGGCAATCAATTAAATTGTTGATCATTTTGTAGCCAAATATTATTGAGGCACAGTACCTACGTTTTTTCAAAGTCAACATGTCTAAGCGACTACATAGTTCCTCGCTACTTGTACCTCTCTCTGGATATGTCCCATCAATCCTAAACAGAACAAACTTCATAAACTTCCGTTGTACTATTTCAATAGCTGTGCTATATCATTCATAGTAACGGCTCCAAGTAATACTACAATATTCGACTTTGGATCTAACATAAGCATAATATAATAGCTTGAAAATTCCTGCAATTCCTTACTATGAAACAATAAGCCGCCAATGCTTCTGATGCTTTTTTATTTATATGCTGACTAAAAGTTAACTTTTGATCATAGATTATACCTAAATCACGTACATCAGAGCATCTTTCTAGGACAGGCCCATCAATAGAGTACGGATATTCGCAAACATTAATTTTCCTGGTATAGCTGACTATTTTACACTTCCTCACATTAAGCTCCAACTTGTTTTCTACACACCAAGACAGCACAAAATTGATACAATCATCAGGAGTATTTATTTGCGAATAAATTTTTAGGTCGTCAGCAAAGCATAGGCGTTCACATTCAACTGAGTCACAGAGGTCATTAATAAATATCAAAAACAGTAATGGTCCCAGGTTGGACCCCTGAGGAACTCCAGAAGGTGCCAAGTAGGTCTCAGATTGGAAGCCATTATAGCTAACAAATTGTCTACGATCGGATAAGTAAGATTTCATCAACTCCCTAGCATCATCTGTGAAACCAAGTGCACCTAACTTATTTAATAAAGTTTTGTGGTTAATTTTATCGAAAGCCTTCGAAAAGTCGGTATAAATAACGTCAACTTGCTCATTACTATCAATGGCTCCCTCGAGGTACTGCGTTATTATAAATAGATTTGTGGTTGTTGAGCGATTAGCGACAAATTCGTGTTGATGCAATGACAGCTGACGCTGGACTATTTCAAAGACTTTCGAGAACATGCATAATATAGAGATTGCCCTGTATTTCTCAATATTTGACTTATCCCCACACTTAAACACTGGACAGACCTTAGCGATCTTCCAAATATCTGGAAATCTTATTGTTATAAGACTAATATTAAAAATCCTAGTTAGAACACCAACAAACACTTCCAGACAATCTGTGACTATAAAGGACGGGATGCCATCTAGACCAGATGTCATCTTATCCTTTAGTGATTTAATGGCCTTCCTGACTTCATTTTCATCAATTGGATGAAAATGGACAAATAAATTACTATGATTTAGTGAGGCATTATTAATGGGGCTTGTGAGTGACAAAGACGCTGCTGAAAAACTCACTGAATGCGTTTACTATATCCTGAGGCTGATCTATAGAATTATTTTGAAATTTCATTATCCCTGGGATTCGTGATCTGTTGTTTTTGGAGTGAACGTATGACCAAAAAGCATTGGGGTTAATTGTTAAAGAATTCTGGATATTTTCAATATATTGATCATACGCTGATTTAATCTGGTTTTTTATCTAGCGGCGCAAACGTTTGAATTCTTGTCTCCCCCCTACTGAGCGAGGGCCGTGGCAAATGCTTGTTCCGGATGTCGTTGTATCCAGTATACAACTTCTTCCCGTCCAAGTGATTGCGCACGCGCTAAGGAATACCTCAGTACCGATTGCCGGGTGGCGGTACAAGTCCGCCAACGGGCCACTTTAGGTCTATTTAACATCACTAATACGTAAAAAGAAGGTGGTAGACAAGGACCAGTCGACCGAGGCAGTACCACCCGCTAGCTTTTCCCAGGGTGTCTTATAAATGTCCGCATGTTTCCAGACCTAAGCTATGCAGTCGGTTATCTACCAAAACAAAGAAATTAATGATGATGGATCCCTCGAGCACTAAAAACTCCGGACGTAAACTCACTCCACTCTCGTAATGTCCGGGTGGAGGGTGGGCTCGAGGGAACAACATCGAAGATAAAATTTGTTTTTCGAACATCTGCGGGATCAACAGCAACATTGATGCTGTTCATCACTACCTGCAATCCAATCGTCCCGCCGTGCTTTTCTTGGCGGAGACAAAAATCTCAGAGGCTGCACCGATTAACCATCTCAACTTCCCAAACTACGAGGTGCACTCCAATCTGAGAAAGAACGGGGGAGTTGTGGCTTTTGTCCGCAGCAGTCTTTCCTGCTCCAGGGATCTTTCTTTGGAATCAGACCGGAAGGACATTCTGTGGCTTCGCCTCAACTCCAAAACATCACCCAAATTTATTTGCTGCCTTTATCGCCCTCCCTCGAACCATAACTGGGATGACCTACTCGAATACCTCGCCGTCCAGATCGACTTCCTGAACATCAATCACCCCGCTTCAGAGGTAGTTGTTCTCGGTGATTTCAATGCCCATAATGAGCTTTGGTTGGGCTCAAATAAGACCGATGCAGTAGGTCGTGCAGTCGAAGCGTTCGCTCTTACTCAAGGGCTGACCCAGCTGGTGACGAGCCCTACTTTTTTCCCCCGCGTCTCATCACACGCCAGTAGCCTGCTGGATCTCTTTCTGACCACGCATCCTGCCCCTTACAGCACTGCCGTCCTGTCCCCCCTGGGTAACTCAGATCACGGTGTTGTGGAGGTTAGGTTTCGGTCAGAAGCCGCTGTGGCCGCAGAAACTCGCACAGGCCGCAAAACTTGGCATTACGGACATGCCGACTGGGAGGGGCTCAGAGACTTCTTCTCTAGCTTTCCTTGGAGAGATGTCTGTTTCACTGACGCGGATGCGTCGACTGTCTGTTCTTCAATAACCGAAATTATCCACGTCGGAATGGAGGAATACATTCCTCACACAGTGAAAGTTCCTAAACCAGGGTCCAACGGCTGGTTCAACAAATCGTGTGACACTGCTCGCCAGCAGAAGATCAAGGCCCACAGAACCTACTTACAAAACCCCACTGTAGAGAACAGACAAGCCGACGTCGAGTCCAGAAACAAATATAACGAAGCGGTTCGCAATGCCAAAACCCAGCATGATATAAAAGTTAGGCACAGGGTAATGTCGCAGCGCAATGGCAGTCGGTCTTTCTGGACGCTGGCCAAGCAGATTGAAATGAACTTCTCACACAGTAGCCTTCCACCACTTACGTGACAATGATGGAACTATTGTATTCGACTCAAAGGCCAAGGCGGAAGTGCTAGCCAAGATCTTTGCTGCCAACTCCACCATGGACGTCCCCGCCAACGCCCAAGTGCCGTCAATTCAAAGGGTTCCCCACACTATGCGGGAGGTAACATTCAGGCCTAAGATCGTAAGACGAGTGCTCTTGTCGCTCGACATCAACAAAGCTTCTGGTCCGGTCTTGATTCCTGCCATTGTACTGAAGAGATGTGCAGCTGAGCTTGCTCCAGTTCTTTCGCGTCTCTTCCAGATATCTTATGAATCCGGCACCTTCCCAGAAAACTAGAAATTTGCTCATGTACAGCCCATCCCAAAAAAAAGGATCTAAAACCGACCCTTACAACTACAGGCCTATAGCTCTGATTTCTGTTATCAGTAAAGTGATGGAGAGGTGCATAAATCGCGTGCTTCTGGACTACCTCGAACGTCACAGCTTGATTAGCGACAGGCAGTACGGTTTCCGGCACCAACGATCCACAGGGACCTCCTAGCTTACGTCACGCAACTGTGGAGTAAACTCATCCAGTCTCATGGTGAGGCTCATGTCGTTGCTCTTGACATCACGAAAGCGTTCGATCAGCTGTGGCACGCTGCCCTCTTGAGAAAACTTCCATCCTACGGCCTCCCAGAAAAGCTTTGCAGATGGGTGGCTGACTTTATCCCTGGCCGCAAGATATCCGTCGTAATTGACGGATTCTCCTCTTCATCCCACAACGTCAACGCGGGTGTTCCCCAGGGATCGGTCTTGGCTCCAACACTGTTTCTCTTACATATCAACGACCTCCTTTCCTGCACGATCAACCCAATCCACAGCTTCGCTGATGACAGCACTCTACATGCAGGAATTCAGAGTGACAAGCCGATCTCTGCCGCTGAGCTGGAAAAAAGAAGACTAGCGACGACTTCTTCTCTGACAAGAGACCTGGAGGCTATCACTGCTTGGGGACGCAACAATCTTGTACAGTTCAATGCTTCCAAAACATAGTACTGTACTTTGACGAACAAAAAGCGTCCTAGCGCTTATACAGTTTCGATGGACGGTCGAGTTCTACCAAAGAGCCATTCATTTCAGTTGGTCGGAGTCCAGATCACCGAGGACCTGATCTGGCACGAACACATCTCTTCAATAGCTGCAGCTGCTGGGAAAAAGCTAGGCTATTTGTTTAGGGCTAAGAAGTACTTTCCTCCGCATGACCTTCTCATTCTATACAAGGCCCAGATAAGGCCTAGCCTCGAGTATTGCACACACATTTGGGGTGCTGCCGCCCCGACTACATTGTCCATGCTCGATGCTGTCCAGAGGAGGGCGGTCCGACTGATCGATGACTCTTCTCTAACAGACAGTCTCGGGACTCTTTCGCACTAGCGGGCCGTCGGCGATCGAGCTCTTTTCTATCGCTACACCAACGGGCTTTGCTCCTCAGAGCTCTCTTCCATGATGCCGCCGCGCGATGTGCCTGCCAGACAGACCCGCCTGACTTCGGCGTCCCATCCTAACCGTGCCAAACTTCGTACATCCAGAACTGGCCGATACGACCGCTCCTTTGTCCCGAGGGTGTCTAGATTGTGGAACAAACTACGGGAGGAAGCTTTTCCCAGTTCTACTAACCTTAGGCAGTTCAAAAATCGTATTAACAAAATTTCTTTGGGATCATCATAGCAGCCGCGGTGTTCCGGCATTTAGGCTTCTGCTTCTGCTGATATATAAAAAAAAAAAGATCATCAACAAAAGTAGACCTGTTGATTTTTTTCCTAAATTTAGCTTTAAATTTAATGTTCTTAATAATAGCTGAGTGAAACCAAGGCGGGTATCGGTGACTGTAATTCTTATACAGAGGTATGTGGCTGTCAAAAATTTGGAAAATGTTGCCATAAAATACATCGACAATATAATTAACATCAGAAGAGCAGGTAACTTTAAGTGTTACAATTTTAGTGAAAGGCATTAACGATATAAAATAATAAATAAATGAAACCCTATTAAGATCAAATATAGATGTAAACAATGAGAATGCACTACAAAAGAATATTAATTTATGCCAGCAATTCCATAGCTCAATATATACATCTTGACTTCTGGTTTAAATTTATTAACTGACAGTGACTTATAACTATTTAGCAAAAGTTATACCACTTAACGGCATTGTATGTAAAGCTCTTCCGAAAGAAAGCAGTCCTCTGGAGAGTTATTATATCTTATATTTCGGAAATGCATCTATCTGTCTTTCTCTCTCAAAAATAGGGGCTACAAGCTTGTGTGTATATGTGAGCATTTTGAAAGCCACCCTAGTTCTGTGAAAACAGCACTGATATGGTCATTATTTCTGAGATTCTGAGACAATATACAACAGGTGTTTTGGATTGATTGAAGTTCTCTTCCGGTTTCACAATCCAAGAAAGGAAAATATTCTCAAAGGCAGTATGCGAGCTTAGATATCACCAAAGACCCTCAAAACATCCTCAAATTCAATGTGTCAAAATTTCATAAACATATTGTAGGAAACAAAATGTTATCCATCATGACGACTACAGTTATAAGCAGGTTAAGCTAGAAAGGAGTAACAGTTATAAAGACCACATGGATAGCTTTACTGTGTCTGCTTCTAAACTACTGGGGTACTATGTTCGAAACGAGTCAGGGTTCTCGCATGTTGCTAGAACTACAGCAAACTGCCTCAATAGCGGTACATTAACCTCCTTTCTTGGCCCCCTAGATATGCATACCATTTACCAATTGAACATGCGTGGGATTATGATGAGAAGAAGAGCCACATCTTCGAGTCATCCTCGACTAACCATAACAGCTCTTCGGAATCAAGTTCATCTAGTTAAGGGTGATATTTCGCAAGAAATCACTTGAGGTCTGTTTGAAGTAAGACTATAAGATCACAGGAAGGCTTACGCGTTGTCTACAATCGAAAGAACTAGAAAGTGCTCGGCAAGGATCCCTACCATATCGGGATAGCAAATTTTCGACAGAAAATTGCCACGCCTTTCTTTAGATAATTAATAAAACACAATGATAAATACTATCTAACGGTTGGTCCAAGCAAAACAGTTGTCTAGTGGCTTGCAAGTTTATGCCCTAGCTCAACAAAGCGAAGGGTTAGGGGGGGGGGGTTAAGAGCGCCAGTGACTTAGGACGGATTAAGCCACAACTCCCCGAGATGTTAGTCGGAACTTGCCTGGCTTGACCACCACATGAAAGGAGAATCTAACAGAGATGACGAAATTCAAGTAATAGTACACATAGAGAGTGCCAAATAAAATAAGATATTAAATGAATCACAATATATTGATTAATAAAAAAACGCACATATGCTCCACTACTGGAGTGCGAGTAATAAAAAAAGGATGTTATAAAAATCTTAAAAACAACCTGACAAAATTATTTTTCGAGATAACCCCATGAAACTTCTACCATGGTATACGCCCGAAGTATTTACATACATTTTGCGCCTAAATATTAAACTTATCTGTAGGTCTTCTTTGTCAGGCGCGGCCTCAACTCTGGTCAATAAGTGGCCAGTAGTGGGCACGTCACTGGGCAGGGGCTGCTTGCCTCGTTGCCAAAAATTATGGTAGTAGAGAAAAAAAAAACCTGTTCACATCAGGTTTTTTTTTTCAAGGGGATGGCTTCCACTAATTTGTAAAACTGCAACAAGATGCAACCAACTGGAGGTGAAAGGAAGATGATTCCCTTTCGTTTCTATTGACGCTGAGGGTCAAAATCTCATAAAAAAGGTGGAAGACGTAGCACCCAAACCAAAATGGATAAACTTAAGTTACACAAAAAAGGGTGCTAGTTCATTAATTGGCGCTTGGGGCCTAATATCCCAGAGTCCGGAAAACGACTAAACGATCCCTGCACCATGACCTCAACGGAAACAGAAAAGCGAATCACGCAGAACACGTAACGTTCTAGAAGAAGGTATCTTGAGTGGCCTTGAAGAAGATATGTTTTATAGGAAACCAACTAACGGAGAAAAACTACACAGTTTTTTTGGTGATCGTCAACTCCAAACTGAATCGCTTATAAAGAAAGATATAATACGAGTGAAATTATAAAATCATAAACTATTAAATTTGCCATAAGAAAATCATTGAAAAGGGTTTGGCCTAGGTATGGGCACTCTACGGATAAGTGGTAAATAATAAAAAAAAGGTTACGTGATTTTGGCATGTGACAACTCCCCCTCTCCTTGGAGTAGGAGGGTATCTACAGTGGATAACCGACATTAATTAATAACGCTGAGCTACCAATAACCTATAGAAACAAGGATCGAGCTGATTATCAAAATCAAAGAGAATTTCCAAATTAACACAAAAATTCCCACCAAAAAAAAAAATATTCTAAACCTAAGTAAACGAAGTCCGGTAGATCACGCCAAGAAGGAGCAAGTGAAGAGCAAATCGGTACTCTGGCAATACTTCCGAAATGGAAACTGATCAACTGATGTTAGGCGACCAGATAAATTGGCATTGCGTCATCCTTATTGGGCCCGAGGATAACCTCATGTACTAATCTCATTCCGAAACTAAGACCGAGCCCCCATTACACCTCTCCGTACACCAAGCCAGACATGACCAACCGATGGTGGACAGAACAATAACAAGAATTGTAACCCATATTTCCACCCTTATATGGAAGTAAGATATACTCGTAGTTCTACCAGACTGAAAGGTACTCACGGCACCAGGATTCGATCAAACAAAGAGAAAAAAAACACAAATTTAGATATGGTGTTCCGTAATGTGTTACTGCCGGCGATCCGTCAAAAAGCTATACTGAGCGGGGCTGAGGTGTAACGGAGTAGCAACGGGGTATTTGGCATCGTCCGTATCTTACTGAGACGCCCACCAAACCAATCGCCCCCCGACGCACACTCTCCCTAATAAAACCTGCACAAAGGGCAACAAAATGGGACCTGACACACGTCGGAAATCAACACAACACAGCCTTTAATGATTCAACCTATAATACAAAAAAAAGAAATTGATCGAAACCACACAACAACAAAGGTCAATATCGGTTTAAAAGGTCAAAATCGGTATAAAAATCAAAATCAGGTAATAACAAGATCAAGATCGGGACATGAGTTATGACACGTCCAAAATCAAGAATCAACATAAGCAAGAAAATATAACGTAAAGGTAAGATAAGATAAACGAACTAATAAAGGTAATCGATACATAATCACGAAGATAAAAGATAGTCGAAATAGGTGAATTAAATCAAGGAATGAAATGTAGCATACATTCAGTAGTCTCAGAAGAGAAAAAATTGTATTCCCACTTGTTGATATGTGCAGACATCAAGTTTTCCGCCAAGCTATCTGCCCATACCCAACAGATTGTCCAGTCTACAGGACAGAACGTAAGATAAGACAAGATAAGATAAAACAACGTAATTCTAGAATTATATTGAACAAAGGGAGTTATCAATCGACAAACTCCTACCCTCCTTCACATAGACGGATGAATGTGACAAGGTAAGACAAGAGTAAGCAACTAATCCCTCTAGTACAAGACAAGGATAATAATACTCAGTATATCGCCTAACCCAAATCACCACTCGATAATAGGAACAGCTATGTGGAAAAATCCAACAATTAAGACTCAAAACGGTAGTGATTCACTTATCTAAGCCAGGTTGTTCAGATCGTAGAGCTTAGATGTTACAAACTGTGGGCACATGATGGACTTTTACCACCGGCAGTTTTCCCACCACGGACAAATTCTAGGGTCCAGCCCGTAGGGCCAATAGATAGGACAATATCATAAAGAAGTACAATAACAGAGAGTAATACGACGATATCAGTAGCAACAATATACAGGGCAGCTCAGTTTTTTATTTGAAAAACGCTCAGACCCGTCGATTTTCTTTTCGAGGGGGACACAAGTTTGGCAAAAAATCACGTTAGCACTAAGCGAGGGTGACACCTCTCCCAAAATCTTTAATGGAGAGGGGAGTCGAGTGATACCTTATTTTAAAGGTCTTTCAATTCCCTTTATAATGATATAAAATTAATGTACTTCAGTTCAGTTGTTTTGAAGATTTATTGATTCAAAGCTAAAATTAAACTAATACATCATCATTAGTGGAGATCAATACATTTGGCAGCAAAGTAATTCAAAAATGAAGAATGAACTGACCCGTTGCGTTGCCGCACATTTTGCAATATTTGAGGAGTAATTTGAAGGCACTCATTCACAATTCTTTGTCGCAGGTCTTCTAATGATGTTGGCTGAGTAGCATAGATTTTACTTTATAAATGACCTCACATAAAGAAATTCAAAGGTGATAAATCCGGCGGTCTTGGGGGCCATTCAATGGCACCTCTTCTACCAATCCATCGATCTGGAAACGTCTGATCTAAACAATATTGTCGAACACGTGATGCGTAATGTGGTGGGGCACCATCCTGTTGGAACATCAACCTATTCGCAATGTACCGCCGATCATTTTGATTTTCATTTATGGCTGTTAATGCAGGATCTATGGCGTCTTCCAGTAATTCCAAATACACTTCACCGGTCAAATTTCCAGGTAAGAAAAAAGGACCAACTAAATGATCGCCGAAAATACCAGCCCAAACATTTAATTTTTATGGCTGCTGTGTACGAACCTCATGATCAATTCTGGGATTATAATCGGACCAATATCGGCAGTTATGACAATTTACTATGCCATTTAAGAAAAAGGAACATTCGTCGGAAAAGCAAGTGTTGAATAGAAAATGTTCATCGTTTATAATCCGTTCACTCATATCTTCACAAAATTGTAATCGCCGATCAACATCGTCTTCATTAAGTTCTTGTACCAGGTGAATTTTGTACGGATGAAAACTATGGGCCTTTAGAATCCGTTGGACAGTACGTCGACTAACACCACACACAGTCTCCAATTTGCGGGGACTTAACGTAGGATCTACATAAACTTGCCCTAAAACCCCCACTTCTATTGCTTCGTTCCTTATGGGATTTCCAATGTTGCATTTTTTATTGGCGACTGACCCAGTTTCCCGAAATTTAGCTACAAGTTGTAGAACATATTTTCGATGCACGTTACTGTTCTCATGTCGCTCATTAAATATTTCTGCTGTTCTATTAGCCCACTGATTATTTCCGAAAAATACTTCGATAATTTCAACTCTTTCTGCTGTGGAATATACCATGGTTAATATATGTAATAAAGCGTTACAAGTTATTTTAGCAACAAAGTTTGGTCAAATCAATCGCAAACTATCTACTAAATTGCTATTTAAAATAAGTACGAGATATTTCCTTATCTTTCTTCAAGAAATAACTTTTTTGCCACAAAAAAAACACTCCAATAGCTATTTTCAGCAACAAAATGATAAACAAACCATGGCCGTAGTGAAGAAAAGCATTTACTTATTAAGTAAATTCTCTTGGTCAAATTTCTTCTTAAAGTAGTACAGACTAATCTGATGTACCTATTAATGTCTACTTTAAGCTTTAAATCAATAAATCTTCAAAACTACTGAACTGAAGCTCATGTATTTTACAACATTATAAAGGGAATTAAAAGACCTTTGAAATAAGGTATCACTCGACCCCCATTTCCATTTAAGATCTTAGGGTTGGTGTCACCCCCGCCCAGGGGATGCACGTGTTAAAGTGATTTTTTGCCAAACTTGTGTCCCCCTCAAAAACAAAATCGACGGGCCTGAGCGTTTTTCCAAAAAAAAAAACTTAGCGTCTGTTTCGTTTTCGATGCGCCACCCTGTATTATAGGTAGATGAACAGACTAAGGTAAGGTAAGTAAATAACAATGTTGGTTATTCGGCGTCAGTAATGTCTGTGGAAGATGGATCGCAATATGGTTTCAAATCCTGAACATGCCATAATTACCCTGCTGGTCTTAAAGTCCGTACGACCAAGAACCACACTTCCGTCTTATTATAAGTGGTCCGAGGTATGTTGGTGCTAACTTGGCACTAAAATAATAATTAAAGGCGTCAGAAAGGAAAGAGAAGCTAAAGAAACAACCAACCACGAAACAGTTCATTCAGCCTTTGAGCAGTCAGGTATCAAAGGACAATACAATGTCTTGCAACTTTCCACAAGGATTAGAGGTGGAATTTCTTCGGACTTAGAACCCCCCTCCACCTGGCATTTGGCACAAATAAATTAATATTGCTCTCTTTCGGAGAGCCCAATGGAAACTGATTTAAACGTGGAATCAGGCGGGCATCAAACGGAAAATGTGCCGCTATGTGTTGTGCATTTTTTGATATATATCTCTGAAATGTTAAGTGTATAAAGGATAAATAAATTTTGATTGATTAAGATAACTAACAGTATCAGTCAAATCTAACACAAATATTTTCACCTGAAAGCTTAACCACTACTTCTTGTTGCTTATGTCTAACTGTGTGCAACATTCCGTTAAAACAAAATTCTTTTTAGTGGGTATTCAGGTTTATTTTTGTTACTGAATATATGTGTGAAATTAGTCAAAGCGTATAGGGAACGGAGCAATAATTTTCAGGCGAGGGGTTACAAACGGAAACTAACCAATTTGACCCAAACCTCAATTTACATAAATGATCTTCCAAATCCTCTTTTATGCTCTACACTGCGATCAGTCGCCCACGCCAATATAGTTCTGATGTTATACATAGGAGAGTTGACGTTAACCGTTGGTAGGTAAAAAATGACGACACAGCGCAGTATCATTAGTGCCTCACGCCCATTCGTGGTCGTTCAATATAACTAATGACCTTAGATAAAGCTGATCATTTTCTGTGAACGACCTCTCAAGTATACAGATTCGCCTCTTCATCCTCTATAGCGTGCACATTTTCCAGGGTGCTGTGATTGATTGAGTGAAGGTTCATTTTGGCGGGGGATTTTTAACGTTTCTTTTTCATCTTTCTGTGGAGTGGAACATATTTTGATACAGCTTAAAAGCCATAAGGAGATTCATTCAGAGCTTTTCAAAAAAGTTCCTTCCCTGCTTATTTTTGGACGAGTTAAGTTAGCAAGTTGAAATCCGGAGTATAAAGTTTATGCAGAATGGCGGTTGAGAATCCAAGATGGCAGTTAGGAGCCATATTGGTATACTCTGTTATATGGAATGATTATGTGATATCTCATTTTAAAAGTGCTTTTGAGTGCTTTATAGTTCTACCACCCCCTTCCCATTTCATTGGCCCACTTCTAAACATGACGAAACTATTTACTTCTAAAACAATTCATTTTCTAAAAAACATTTTAGATACACTCTAGTCATAAAAAATACATATTTGACATCACTTAGGCCCGTATCGTCAGTCGTCCCTACAATTGTAGGGGTTTATGGCCTCCTTGATTGTCATACTCCTTTCTCTCCTTCAAAAATTTCTAGATTACATTTGTCCCGTGTCAGCGTCAGCGCTCTCCTATTGTGAAGATATGTTTTCTTTTAAAATTGTAGGAAATTTCAGGCTGATAAAACATGATATAACTCAAAAGCAAGCACAATTTGATGCAAATAGATGTTTGTGAGATAACCTCAAAATAGAGCGCTGACAGGGAGAAGTAGAAAACTAAGACAATCAAGGAGGCCATAAAGGCGCCCTACAATTGTAGGGCTGGTTTATGGCCTTCTTGATTTCGATAATATTACGTCTTCTTCGTTAACGCACATGTATGTCCTCCTTTTGATTTCCGACATCTGACAGTTCTGGCTTGAGGTTGTTTTGACGTTCAAGTCACATGACAGCATAATTTATAATTTTCTTGCAAATAATTATCGGTCACTCAAAAATACCTCGCTACATTGAACAAATTCCACAACCTGTGGTATCTTCAAGAAATTGCTGAGTTAGGAAAATTAATGCACATGGATATATTATACTGTAATATATTTGTGTGTATGAAAGTCCAGAAGCTTACAACCTAGCTTGATGGAGGTTGGTAAGTTACAAAACAAATCATTGCATATCCATATTATAAACTTATCGCATTATTTTCAGGTGTGATTCATTATCACAGACTTTATGAGAAGTTGGTTCCTCAGTAAAATGCTATGTTTACTTTGGAAGGATAAGGAGGTGAATGATCTTTCTAAGAAGGAATTCATGCATCCAGGCATAATTGAAGGAATCTTACAGAAACAAAACGTGAATTTGATTTATGTGACTGATATGTGCTACACTGCAATTTGTTAATTAAAACCTGGCATAAACCTGTATGATCATAGTCATAATGATAAGAATGAACACTTACGAACTTGAAGACAAGCTGTGCTAAGCAAGTATGCATAATGTGTAAAGGTTCTGAAATTGAGTCCATCGTAAATTGACAATCATGATTTCAGGATATTAAAAAGAGCATGGGCAAGTAGGAGCACCAATTATGTGACATTACAAAGTGCAAATGAGAAAATGGAGTTGCAGCATGAAGTTAAATTCTTTATTACTTTGTACCACCATGGCAGAAAATTCCACAACTAATTACAAGAAAACTGTGGGAATCAATTCCCTGTGTAAAAGTCCAGAAGCTTACAACCAAGCTGTTCTCTTGATGAAGGTTGGTAAGTTACCAAACAAATCATGGGATATTCATATTATATACTTACTGCATTATTTTCAGGTGTAATTCATTCAAACAGACTTTACAAGAAGTTGGTTCCTCCATGGATAACAAACATATCCCGAGTGCAACTGCATTGTTGATGTCAAGATGCCTGTTCACAAATCATTACTGGACTCTATGTGAAGTGTCAAGCTACAAATATGTATCATTGTTATTTCAGGATGCTTGAAATACCATATCCATGTAGGATTACCAAATATGAAGTATTACAGGGAGTAAACACATTTGTAGCATGAATTTAAATCAGAAAAACAGAAATTCAAATCTCAATACTAAAAGTTTTTAATTGATTTGGAACCCTAACTTAAAAAGGGAAAGTAGGTGTGATGTAGGGTTTTCATAAAAACTGTCTCTGAATATTGTTAATATGACAATATCACCATGCAGCGAAATAGTTTATATTTTTTGGGTAGAAATCATAGGTCTGACTAAAAAAAATTCTTTTCAAAAATACTGTTTATTTATACATAGTGACATTGTTATACTAACGATATTAGGATCATGCAAAGAAACAGTATTTTAATTTCATCAAATTTGCTCCGAAATCACTGATGATTTTAAGAGCAATTTTTATTTTAAGAGAAATCAGTTGCCTACTATCATTGTCTGCCAAAATAGGCAACTGAAATTCGTACGAACGCCACTGGTGGGAATTCAAAGAATGTTGCATTCTTGATGTACATCTATGCCAAACTTTGATAAAGTATTTGAAGTGGTATTCCAGATCTTTACAAAGAATTTTATTAACTTTTGAAAAGTTTACCACTGTGTTTCTCAAAGGTCAAGAGATTTATGATATACATCATATGAAATATTCTTAAAATGGACTCAAAGTTACCCCCTTAAATATAGACATTCAATTGGAAAACACCCTGTATATTTTATGTAAGTAAATTAAAAATAAATAAAGTTTATCGTGATACACTGTTGTAGTTTTTCATTTTTGATATATTGTTTTTTGGCTACATATTCATAATTCCTGTAATTAGTTGTAACTTTAAGATTGGTGATACTTACGTTTTGACATACTACGTATGAGTTCATTAACAATTTCATGTATTATACTATTCAGATGGCAAGTATTTGTGGAATGTAAATAAAAGCATCATTGGTAAAATCAATATTTATTTAGAAATATAATAGGTTCTTTCAGAAATACATATATGGAAATACAGATTTCATCAATTTGTCATTCTTCTTTTCTCTTAAAACAAATGTTTCATCATGATGTTAACAATATTGTATGCTACTTTCAAAATTAGAAGCTCTACAAACAAAACACTGTGTGGACAAACAATTTAAATATACAGGGTGACTTTGAAGTTGAGTCATTAATTTTCAGATAATGATTGTAGAAGGAAGATGAACCAAAATATGTGTGTAAAAATAAAAAAAAATGAAAAAAATTTTTTTACCTTGTTTTATAAAGTATCCTCCCGACAAGTATTTCAGTGCGGACCTGTATTTGATCGTGAGGTCTTGGAGCACCGGCATGCAGTCCCCTGTGTGGTCTTAAGTCACCTGGTTCACGAGCCCGTTGTACTACATTAACAAAGGCATGAGGGGTTGGTTGCACTCGATTGGGAACAGATCCGCATAAACATGTGCCATTTTTTATTTCGTTTGAGCCACGCAACAGACACCACTATTCAAACGCGTTACCGACTGACACTGACTGTATACAACTGACTAAAATAATTGTAAGAACATCGTTTTAAATTCTTTCGCTTTTTTGTTTCCGATGCGATGAACCAAACACGAGCACATAATATTATTATTGAGACAGGGCGGTACTCAAACTTCCAAAGGGCTATAACTTTGTTACTTTAACTTTACCAGAAAAATGGTAAAGGAAAAAAACATTTCTTTTGATCAGATCTACTCACTGTTAAAATAAATGACTCAACTTCGAAGTCACCCTGTATATCGACTCTTCTATTTCCTCTACTATCGTGCCTTACACTAGAATTATTCTGTCCTTCCTGCAACAGTATCTTGTAATCTCGGCTTCTCAGGATGGGATGTATCTTTGAGCAATGCAAGTAGATCTGAAAAAATACCATTAAATGGGTGATTTCTTACATTTTACTCCTCAGCACCGATACAACCATAGTGTTGAAGTATGTCTTTAGTTACACCACTGGAATTTTATTTTTGTCATTATCATTTGCTACTGTGCTTCCAATTGTTGGCCAAAGGTGGTCAATAACGAAGAAAAAGGTAATGATTTTCTAGCAATACTCCAACTTTATCATATATGCCATTCAGTTGAATGGTTAAGAAATCTCAAACACATGGCCTTAGCTTTGTGAAAATCGTTGAATAAAAATGTCGATTACAATATTCGAGAATGCACTTTATCGAGTTCCGTAAGACATTTCAACTATCCAACATGCAACATTAACCATTCGAGAACCAATTGCCTAAGCATAACAAAGTTCATCTTGAGCTCCATAACTTTAAAACTCTTATGATTATACATACAGGCTTATGCATTCCTTAAACTAACAAATTCTACTGTAACAATCTTGAACACAAAAGGCAAACTCATGTGTTTCAAAATGGTGTGGTTACTACAGGATTCTCTTTTTCAGCGGTGCTAGGATGCTTCCATGTGCCTGAATGTGTAAATTCCTTCTTATGAAGATCATTCAGATCTCTATCGTTCTTAGTTTACTTCTGTTGGCAATATCAGGATAAACTTTTTTGCAATATATCAATCCCTCACATTATTTTTACCAATGTCTACACCTTGATCACAATATAGGTTGGCCTTGGTTAAGCTGTCGATTCTAAATATTCAACTGTTCTGTGTTTGAATCGATTCTACGCTTTGTTTTTGCCCTGAGGCGCACTGCATCAGTTTTCTTATTTCCAATCACATTGTTGTATTGTTTATCATGGTCAGCAGCTGACACAGAACATTCAAATATTTGAAATTGACAGTTTGAAGTTTTGATATGATACATTTTCATGACAGCTTTCCATTTAAAAAAAAACTTTCTGCTTATATCAATATATATATATATATATATATATATATATATATATATATGCCCACAAGGCTAATATTGTAAAACAAGGCGAGCACCTGAAATATCAGTCCTATTCAGTGTTTGACATTCCTTAAGCAGGGAATTGATTTCCAGTTTTCTTGTAATTAGTAGTGGAATTTTCTGCCATGATGGTATAAAGTAATGAAGAATTTAACTTCATGCTGCAACTCAATTTTCCCATTTACACCTTGTAATGTCTCATAATTAGTGCTCCTACATGCCCATGCTCTTTTTAATATCCTGAAATCATGATTGTCAATTTACCATGGACTCAATTTTACAACCTTTACACATTATACATACGTTCTCAGCACAGCTTGTCTTCAAGTTCATAAGTGTTTATTTTTATCATTATGACTATGATCATACAGGTTTATGCCAGGCTTTAATTAACAAATTGCAGTGTAACACATATCGGTCACATAAATCAAATTATCGTTTTGCCTTCAATTATGCCTGGATGCATAAATTCCTTCTTAGAAAGATCATTCACCTCCTTACCCTTCCAAAGTAAACATAGCACTTTACTGAGGAACCAACTTCTCGTAAAGTCTGTGATAATGAATCACACCTGGAAATAATGCGATAAGTATATAATATGGATATGCAATGATTCGTTTTGTAACTTACCAACCTCCATCAAGCTTGGCTATAAGCTTCTGGACTTTCATACACACAAATATATTATAGTATAATACAGGGTGACTTCGAAGTTGAGTCATTTATTTTAATAGTGAGTAGATCTGATCAAAAGAAATGTTTTTGTCCTTTACCATTTTTCTGGTAAAATTAAAGTAACAAAGTTATAGCCCTTTGGAAGTTTGAGTACCGCCCTGTCAATAATAATATTATGTGCTCGTGTTTGGCGACAACGGATATAATCCGCCGTATCGGTTCATCGCGTCGGAAACAAAAAAGCGAAAGAATTTGGAACGATGTTTTTACAATTATTTTATTCATTTATATACAGTCAGTGTCAGTGAATAGTGTGTTGCGTGGCTCAAACGAAATAAAAAATGGCACATGTTTATGCGGATCGGTTTCCCAATCGAGTGCAACCAACCCCTCGTGTCTTTGTTAATGTAGTACAACGGGCTCGTGAATCAGGTGACTTAAGACCTGACAGGGGACCTCACGATCAAATACAGGTCCGCACTAAAATACTTGTCGGGAGGATACTTTATAAAACCAGGTAAACATATTTTTTTAAATTTTTTTTTATTTTTACACACATATTTTGGTTTATCTTCCTTCTACAATCATTATCTGAAAATTAATGACTCAACTTCAAAGTCCCTGTAGATCCATTTGCATTAATTTTCCTAACTCAACAATTTCTTGAAGATACCACAGGTTGTGGAATTTGTTCAACGTAGCGAGGTGTTTTTGAGTGATCGATAACTATTTGCAAGAAAATTATAAATTATGGTTCTGCTGTCATGTGACTTGAACGTCAAGACAACCTCAAGCCAGAACTGTCAGATGTCGGAAATCAAAAGGAGGACATACATGTGCGTTAACGAAGAAGACGTAATATTATCGAAATCAAGAAAGCCATAAACCAGCCCTACAATTGTAGGGACGACTGACGATACGGGCCTAAGACCTATAACGAATAGAGCATCTGAACAAATAAACAATGTGCGAATAAATGCGCGAAGTTAACAAAGCAACAATTGAAAGATTACCATTGGGTAACATCACCTTTATTTTTTATTACGGCTGAAATTCTTTGGGGCGTAGTGTTAACCAAGTTTTGGCAAAAATTTGGTGTGAAACAATCCCATATTTCTTGAAACTTTTGTCTCAGTTCGGTGATTGTACGTGCACGATGTTGTCGTAGAACCTTTTTCATCTACTGTCACAAGGTTTCAATGGGTGACAGATCTGGGCTGCTAGAAACCCATATCAAAAGTGGTACACTATTTTCTTCCATCCATTTTATAGCCTCTTTTGAGGTATGGCACGCTGCACCATCTTTCTGAAACACAAAACCTTGGCCGGGTGATAAACATTCTTCCATCACTGATAAAACCGATTATTCTAAAATTGCCAAATATTTGTTTGTATCCACATTTCCATCAAAAAAATTCAGTTTTCCTACTCCTTTTGATGACATACTGTCCCAGACCATAATGGATGCTGGAAATTTCACGTTTCTCTTCAGACTGTCACCAACACAAGCTTCGAATCGGGCCTCATCACTCCAATGTATTGCATACCATTGTTGAGGCGTCTATTGTCTATGTTATTTAGCCCATCTAAGCCGATTTTTCTTTTGCAGTGGAGTTAATAGTGGCTTTTCTTTGGCATATAAACAAGTTGTGCAACTTTAGGGTTTTTACTTTACTTTTTTTATCAGAAAACTTACCTTGCAAGTGCTAAATCCCAGTTTGTGGGCCTCTCTATGAGTTGTGGACCTCGAAATTCTCCTTCTAACAGCATCACTCCACAGAGCACTTAATTGTAAATAATTGGCACGCCTGTTTTTCACGATTATTCTTCTTGATGCTCTTAGGTCGGCATTTGCGATATTACCTTTTTTTCATATATCGTGGCTTAATATTAACTGAACCAGTTACGTTATATCTTCTAACAGTATTTCTCACACAGTACCGCGATAAGTTGCAATTTCTGAGTTTGATTTCCCAGAATTAGAAAATTTAATTATCAGTAACCGAATTTTCTCACTAATAACCTTTCCTCTACCCATTTCGAAAACCTTAACTACCCAAAACTATTTTAAACGTATTCTGACAGCTGTGATTAATAAAAAAAATTCTCATGGCTTTTATTTTTCACAGCCACCTATGCGTTATAGACTTATTTTGCATTGAAATGAAAATAGGTTGATATGGTGTAATTGCAACATGTGTTATTTGGGATTGGGATTAGGGAGTGATAAAGTTGGTGTTTTCTACTATATATTATCAGAATATTCATTGTTAATATTTTAAACCTATAACACCCTGCTACATTTTTATTATTTGTGTTTAATAAGAAAAAAACTAAGATTTAATGGTTGGGCCAACTGAAGTGGGAAGGGGCTCGTAGAATATGAAACCATCGTCTTTCAAAATGGTGGACCTGAAGCAGTTCAAAGAATAGGTTTAACAAACTCCTCATAGCAGTATTTGAACTCGGCGGTTGCTTCAGTATAGAAAGAAGTTTGAAAGCTCGCCCGCCAGTCCGCCATTCCAAACGGCACTGAATTTGTACTGAAGTGTTACAAAGTTTAGTGTATAAATCTGAGGTGGACACAATTGACGAACTACGTGTGCTAATTTAGCAATCTGTTGCATTCTTACTGAATTCTGAAGCCTATATCGGTGCTTGCCTATATCGAGCACATACATGTGTCTGTGAATCTATCGTAGACAACGTTGAACAATACTCACAAGTAACAGGGGTGTACTTTATTGTTGTAACAAACGTAGTGTATATGAGTTCACGACGAAGCAATACATATTTTCCTGGATGTGTTTCAAGTTCAAGTTTCTTAGTAGTCACAACCACATCTTCGCAATGTGTAGGATCCTTAGGGAGTTTTTAATTTTTGCATGTGTTGTTGATCGGAATGTAAGTATTCTAATAAGGAAGGGTATATTTCAAGCAAATTTGTCAATATTGTTTTATGTCAGGGTGCCTTTTGTTGATCGTGGGAGAAATTATACTCACCAATATACTGGCTCAGTATCTGTATTTATTAGTTCTTTCCGATATTGACAGAGCTCAAAATGGAAACAGCGTATCTAAACAGAATCCTCAAGAATAATGAGAAATCTTAAGGAACCCAATTTACCCTACGTGTCAATATTGACTAATTTTGGAGTTTTAAATCAATGTAGGTATACAACTCCACTACTAAAATACAGCTCTAGATTTTGATCCCTCCTCCCTTGGTTTTTCAGAAGCGAAAGTAAACGTAGTAGTCTACAGGACCGCATCTAATTTTCCGCAAAAACAGAACTCAGAATTCTCTAAAAAATCAGGTTGGAACAACGGCATTGCAAATGACGTCGGAAATCCGACGACGTGCTGTCGTAAGTAAATCCGTTTGGTGCGATTAGTTTAATGCTTACGATGTGGATTGGTGGATTCGTATCTTAAAGCGTAATAGAGATACAAACACATTCTACTACCGCTTACAAAACATAAATAAATAAAACGTTGCAAGTATAAATTTACACAAATTCCCTACAACTTTGTTAAATCATGGACATGATACAAGACATAAGAACAACTTACTTGTACTACTTCCACATGGGCTAAGCTTGACTCACAGAAGCCGTATAAACATGTCTATAAAGCTGTTCAATATATTACCGCAGCACTTGATAGAGATTACAAAAAATAAGTAAAAAATTGCGTAACGAAACTTTTAATGAAAGAAATCGCATTACAGTATTCATTATTTTTAAGAAAACATTACAGCAAATGTTTATTGTGCTATAATTGTGTATGTGCGTTTTTGTCATTTTCACGAATGACATACTATCTATAATTTCTAGTTCTCTCTTTTGATGCTTGGTGATGCACATTTTTTTTTCTGTATTTTCACAGTCTAAAGCCGCGTACAGACCGAAACTCCACAGCCGAGCAAACGAATGCAAGCGCATGTGTGACGTTGGCGTTTGTTGTAGGAATGTATTGGATAGCGCTCCTTTACACCTAAATTTAGTTGGACCGCGTTGGGATAAGTTCGGTGCGCATGTCGAGCAATGAGTCTTCCCTCATCGAATGCAGACAAACGACTAAATGCTAGAAGCGCAGCAAATCCTGTGCAGACCAAATCAAACCTCTCTTTGATGGATCGAACGCAATCTAACGCCAACGCCGACCTTGGAAACTGTTGGCTTATATTGGCTGGCGCCGTACACACCGATTCGTATACTTCCAAATCTGTAACCACATGTGCCGTGGCTTGCGATGGAATATCGGTCTGTACGCGGCTTTGGACAATGCAAGCATATAAAGCTTTTAGAGACTTCAATCTGACGCCGATCTCTGATTCAGAACAGATGTCGGACAGAAACATGTGTTACAGTCATTTAGTCGAGTCAAGGTTAGGATAATCTAAATTTCAAACTGATAATTCTGTTTGATCTGACAAATGATTACAGCAACACATTCGCACCTCAGGGTTCCCTGGACGCACACATTTAACTGTAGAAGCCACGCCTACATTTCACTGTCAGCCGATGATCAGTTAAAATAGAAGAGCATCTTTCTTAAGTAAGTTGTTTTTCTTTAATTCTTGTGGATTATTTTGCATGGAATTCTTTGAAATAAAAGCAGAATAAACAAAAACGCTTCCCCATTCTTCCACCTTTATTGTTGACGTGCAGTTATTGATTGTCGTTTATGTACTTTCATCAACAAGGATGAAAAATGGCTCGTTAGCTTGCCTACAGCCTACCACCATTATTTTCATAATGATTAATGATCTGCTAATTATTGCATTATTATATTCGCCTATATAAATGGTTCAAACGTGATTTACATCAAAACCCGCCGTCTTGTTACTTCGTTTCTTGTAATTTCAGATTTTTCTTTGTTTATGTTTGATACTGGAACTAGCTTGACTGGAAGCTTTAACTGTATGTTTAATCCTTGATATTTATAAAATTTACATAGCTTGCATATAAGGCTTGGAAACAGCTGTTGAATCGTTGGTTCACTACCTACTTTGGTAACTATTACTTGTAGGTTAACTGTTACTTGTCCATAAATTCTTTTTTCAATTTTTGGTTAACTAACCAGTCACTGTTAATCTGGCAATGTTACTTCTGCATCTGAGCTCACGCGTTTTGTGGCCTTTTTAGATCTTCGACGGTTGAGCTATATAGCGAGACCCCCTCGTATATCTCCCTAATTTGTGTGCTCAACTTTATAAACAACCCCATATTATAAATTCTTCTTTGTGCCCTTTAGGCATCAGTTTACATCAGCTTTACTTTAGGTTACATCTATTAGTCAATCGCTTGCAAGCTCACTTTTAAAAAACGTTTTACAGGCGATTTGATACACTTTATTTACTTAAAGTACAAGTATCGTTTCAGGTAACAACGGTTTTGTTACCAAACCTAAGACTATGTGAGCTTACAAGCCACTGACTAATAGATGTAACCTGAAGTAATAGCTGATGTAAACTGACGCCTAAAGGGCACAAACAAAAATTTATAATATGGGGTTGTTTACAAAGATAAGATATAACTTTTGTGTCTCGTATTATCTGTGACAAATGATAATAATAATAATAATAATAATAATAATTTATTTTATTTGGACAAGCAATTTGTATTAGAATCGTTAATAGAGCTGCTATTAACAGACCTTTCAAACTATGCATGCAGTGATTTTGAATTGTTATTCCTTGTATCGTTTGGAAGGATGTTAAAGATGTTGAGATCAAGTATGTTTGACGATTTATTTCTTACTGTAAATATAGAAAAGTTAGCGTGTATATTATAACTATACCTCCTAGCACCTGTGTGTACGTCTTTGAGTAAATTTGGTCTTTTTCCGGAATTCGTATAACGCGAACTCGCGAATCGCCAGAGCAAGTACCGCGAGCATTTTATACTTTGTTTTTTAAATTTCTTCACAACTGTAGGTGTTACCCGCGTGATCTAACAATTCGCTTTTCAACAATAAAAACATGTGCCGTAGCAGAGCAACCCCAAAAAAATATCATATCTGAATCTGGGCTCCACAAGACCGTAGTAGTAGTAGTAGTAGTAGAGAGAGAGAGAGAGAGAGACTAGTTAACTTTCAAAGTAGGTAACTATGACTTGGAAGTTAACTATCAGTTGCATATGAATTTGTTTTTCAAGTTCTGGTTAACAATTCATGAAAGGTTAATGCGGCAATTTTGCCTTTACTTTCCACGCCGCTGAGCGAGAACATTTTCTAATCGCGAAACATTTCGAAAAAGAAATAATGTTTCTTGGATGTTATATAATACACGTACATCACGAGAAACCATGTCATTAATTTGCGTCAGTCTGTCAGGTAACACTTGATCGTCTATAACTTAAAAAGGCATTGCAGTTTTCTAAAGTCGGTCCAGTGGGGCGGAGTGGGAGGCGAAGAAAAAACAAAAATCGCTCAAACTTCGCTTTTCGTCGTTTCAAGGGCTCGAAAATAAACTGAACGGGTTAACAATTGGGGATTGGAGTTTGTACGAGGTAGGAATTGTGAACGTTACGTGTTTAGTATCAGTCAAAGACGTTCAATCATAAAAAGATCCCGGTAACAATGGGAAAATCAAACGATGAAAGTCCGATATGCTCATAACTCGAAATAACTCTAAAGGTTGACGTTACTTGCACGGCGCGATGCTGCATCGCCGTGTAGGCCACTGCTGACTGTGGCAAGCGCAATAGGTGATTAACTCCAATTGGTGTACTGGTTAACTGCGGCGGTGTCGACACCGACACATCACTCCACCGTTCACGGGAGTACTTATTGTAAGTTTTAGTGATATTTCGATATTAAGGGTATGTACCACTTCAACTTTCTGCGATGCTTTTAAATGATGAATTAACTGTTTTCATATTTACACAACTTTTTCTGATTTTCTAATACTTAAATGTACCTACCTGTTTTGCCTAACCCTATGTTACTCAGTAAATGATGGTTTCCTAAATATTTTGTCAAGTAGATTGACTTATCACGCATAGATATACAACAGGCACAAACTGACAAACCGATAAATAGGAAATACGGCTGTGTGTGATGCAGATATCTTTAGGCAGCAGAAGGCTTGTGAACTGAAGTTCAACTTTATCGCGAGTTCAAGAGCGAGCTTAGATAGTCGTAGATTTTGAAAGTTCATTCATTTTCAGACATAGAGGGTGGTTGAATATTGTAGGATGGAGTGTATGCGGTAAATGACTGTAATATTTTGCATGTGGTATCAGTGAAGTACCTTCGATTATTAAGAAGCTGCGATATCATTCTGCACCTGTGACACATAATGAGTCACCCATGTTTTATATAGTTTGATATGTAGAGCTCGAAGAGTCATCGTACCTAAGTGAAACTACCTGGACACAATACGATTCCGCCTTTTGAAACGAGTTGACTCATCCCATTTCTTTGGAACCTTCAACGAAGTCGTAAGAGCTAACTTGTCGCCATATTTATATGAGAATATTGTGTTGTTAATCATCCACGTCTGGCAGAATCAAAGCACATATGTTCAACATTCCTCTTTATTGAACGTTACTCGGTCTCGGACTATATTATGTATACGCTAGAAACATTGTCCTAGGATTATACCGCTCACAATGCCACCCTAATAACACAGATACTCGTATAAACTGGTAAACTAGATCCTAGCATCCCTTGCTTCATAATTAATATGCCGCGTCCCCTATGGTGGCAGACTCAATCAATTTTTTAAATAATTTACACGCGCTTAGGTCATTATTATGCATGGATTCCAGCTGAACTTTAATTAAATTTGCCCATTGATACGTAGACAAACTTTAGACGATCGATACTTGAAGTGTTCTCTTGGAAGCGATGCTAGATAGCTCGTAAATCACTTAAATCGTAGCCTCATATAGTGGGATATCCCGTTAAACGAGGACCAAATAGTGCTTAGCTTATTCAACCATGGAGCCTATATACCAGAATAAACTTCGTCATTGCTATTCGTGCTGCAAGAACGACCCCGAAACTTGACGCCTGGAATACAGGTAGTGCTTTGACAGGGTTGCCATGTGGGTTGATTTTTCCACAAAATTGCGATTTTTACTTGGGGAA